ATAATGCAATTAATATTAATTTAACAACGTTAGATGTGACATAAAACCCTAATGTACAAAATTGATGAGAAAAAAACAAAAAAAACCAAAAAGAAGCATAGTTATTGCTCACCACTGATATATAGGGAACATACCATTAGCTAATTAACAGATTTTTACAATAGCATTTTTACAGTCTTGTACTAATAACATTTCTATCATTTTTTATTCAGAAGACAAGCATTCAAAGGCATCTATGTGTTGCATCCATGCAGCTTCATTACAAAATAGCTTTGACTCCTCAAGACTCTCCAGGAGTTCTCCCACATATGTCAACCTTGCAAAGTCTCCTCGCGTCACACTAAAAGTGTCATTTAGATGCACATTCCCTGTCCGTGACGGCTGCCTTCACAAATTGCCTCGGCTAATGGGTATAAATGGCGCCGAGTGCTCCTCTACTGAGCAGGATTTATGAGGGCGCTCCACTTGTCAAGCCGAGGCATCGCACAAAGTAATCGCTGTGTGTTTTGAGCAGCCCTTTGCAATTGAAATCAGATTGGACAAGAATAGCAGTGATGGGTGAAGACCGTCTGTCCCTCAGGCTTCCTCACTGCAGTTGGAGAGGACTGACGTTGAGCCTGGGAGTAATACTAAACGCAGTTTAATCATTATGAGGGTCAGATGGCAAACACTTCTCGTATGCTTCATTTATTTATTTGTAGGATGCCACACAGAGTGCTAATGAAATGCCAGATACAGTTGAGCATTGCGGTTTGGCTGCTGGTGACAGCATGTTTGGCAAAATGTCAGTTACCACAGAAAATCATCTTGACTTGTCAGTCAAAATTTGTGGTTACTGTACAGCAGTGGAAACACATGGGGCATTGCAGCAGACATATAAAGATATATCCAATCTTTCAGCCTCAGTGTCATATCCTTGTAACACTGTATGAATATGCACAAAATATACACAATGATAAAAGAAAGAGGAGAAAACTCTAGAATTGATGTTGGTGGACCTACCTGTAGGACAGTCTTCACATTTTTGCTTCAAACCCTGTGGGGTTTGACAAACAAATGGCTTTGTGGAAGAAATCTGGGATCAGTCCCGATGATTTTCTGTGCTGATAAAATTGCCACAAATGCTGTCAATAGACTAAATAAAGCAAAAAAACTTTAATTTAACCAGCTGACCTTTGATTGACGAGTTTCTGTTTTGCTGTTGGACACTATGGCAATGCTGGTCCACCAGCTAGACTAGCAAAAAAATAAAATAATAAAATACATATCCAGCATTACACATTTTGTGAAAGTGTCTATTTTGTGTCTATTTTATTTAAAGGCACAATATGTAAGATTGTTTTATTAAAACATCCAAAAATTACTAGAACAGTGTTATATATTTTGCTGACTTGTGTACTTACATTATCCCAAATGTTTCGAAGAATGTTTAAATCCAGAGAAATAAGCAATTTTAACTAGTGACACAGACCGTTTCCATAGTGTCATTGTGTCGCCTGCCAATGATGTCATAACCCCTCGATTTCCGGTTTTGTTTTGTAGAAAGCATGGAAACACCAAAGACGCTTTAATTTGTTGTGCGTTTTATTAGACAGGTGACGACTGCACAGAGTAGCATTATAATAATATAATAATAATTAATTACATTTATATAGCACTTTTCAAGGCACTCAAAGCGCTTTACATTGTCAGGGTGTATCTCCTCATCCACCACCAGTGTGCAGCATCCACCTGGATTATAACAGAACTTTCAAATGTATCTAGTATGATAAAACAGCGCTGCTTTACCCCACATATGCACGACCGGAAGGAGCGGAAGTGGTCGAGTGTGGCATAATAAAAGCTCCACTGCTTTCGAGCCGTGTGTCACGCTCGTTCAGCAGCCTCGTTTTGTTGAAAGACATCGTCAAAATAGTCCATCTGCCATCAGTGGTTCAATCTGAATTTTATGAAGCGACGAGAACTCTTTTTGTGAAGAAAACAAAATATCGACTTTATTCAACTTTTTCTTGTCCTCCGTGACACTTCCTGCAAGCGCGTTCATGAGTTCACGAGCAGACCATGACACATGCGTACAGATAAAACACGTCTCAGATGAGCGCACCTCAGATCACGTTTGATCTGCAAACGTAGAGGCCAGTGTACAGACAGAGAACCCGGAAGGCGCTGTGTTTACACCAAGCGGCAACCTCCCGTTCTCTCTCTTGAAGCCAACATGGAAGTGACTTAAACTGTAATTCGTCAACTGGCCGATAGAGGCTGGCTGCAAAAGGGAGTCAATCCCATAGACTCCACATGTTAAAATGCCCAACTTTACAGCAGATTAAGTTTTTGTTTAATCCGATAACATTAACATTTGCGGGAAAAAGAAATTCCTCTCTGGGGCAAAATGAGGGTTAAAGACTTGCGATCTCAAAACACAGAATACACGACCGAAAAAATGAACCCAGCAGATCATCTTGTTCGCCTCCATCAGGGTAATCGCTCCATTGAAGAATATGTGGAGGACTTTTGTGGGCTTTGTCACAAGGTATATTTTAATGAAACATTCCTGAAAGACATTTTCCGTTATGGTTTGGACAAAAATCAAGAGTCTCTTCACAAAATGGCCGCCCTTCTAGAGTCTCATCACGTCTCAACTGATCTGCCAGAGTCTCATCACGATATGGCCGCCATTTCAGTCTGCTTATGCCAGGCCTGAGTCCTCGGCCAAGATGGCCGCCACGCCTGAGTCCCCGGCCAAGATGGCCGCCACACCTGAGTCCCCGGCCAAGATGGCCGCCACGCCTGAGTCGGATGCGGAGCTTGGGCGAGGACTGAAAAGACTGATTGCTAGTGTGATGCACCCACCACGGATGTCAGTGAGAGCGGCTGACATTCCAGTTGTCCCTACCCTCTCAAGTCCGCCAGGCATCCCACTGTCTACTGCACTGCCCGTAATGGCGGTCGCCATTTTGAGCGTGTGGGCTGCACACTGCGCTCCAGAGGCCTCTCCTGTCCACGAGTCTGC